TTCAGTCTAGCTCTCGTTTCTTGTTGCGTTCGCAAATTCTTTAGTCCAACTAACTTTTAGAATTGCACGTAATAGTATCAAGTTTCCCTATACTCACAAAAAATTAAAAGATATAAAGAAAAATAAAAATTTATTGAAAGTATAAAATATTAATGCTTCATCAATCGTTCCAAAAGAAATAATAGCATTGAATCTTATCCAAAAATCGATTTCAAGATTGGAAAGCTCCGGTAAAACTTCAAATGCCTTTATTGCTTATCGAATGGCTTTTGTAAAGAACTTCAAAGAGTAAACCATCCAGTATTCACACAACCAGCTCCCGTCGATGGCAATATCGGCTTGGAATAAAGAGCCAGAAAACGTGCAAAAGACCTATCATTATATTGCTGCGGAAGCAAGTGAAATATATAAGAAACTATGCAAAGAGATAGCAAATCAATTTAAATTTTGTTACGTGCTAGGAAAAGAGGGGGATTGTCAACATCACCCAATTCTTCTTTGCATAGTTCTCCATCGATAAATCTAATCAAAATAAATCAGAAACGATGGGGTACAGTGTCCAGTTTGCTGCATTCCTATGCAATAATTAACCGAAAAACTAGATCAATATGGTAGATGTATTCAAATTTAAAAAATAAAAATTTGATAACTTTGGGACGCGATATCTCGATGTTTTACGTTTCAATTTGGGCAAAAATGGAACCATTCGATTCGTACTTTTTTTGCCCAAATTGAACTATTGAACGTCGAGATATCGCGTCCCAAAGTTATCGAATTTTTTATTTTTTAAAATTGATTTTCTGGTTTTTTTAAATTTAAATTTTCAATAGATTCTTTTGATAATGAATGCCGGTAATTTTTTAAAATTTCGTATAGATCAATTTTATAATGTAAATTGTAAGCTCACTTAAATCACGTAAACCATACGAATTCTGCAAAATCTGCATTTCAATAAAACTGGACGCTGAGGTTTTCTCGTGTAAACTTATGCGCGCTGACCAATCATTTAATTAGCGATATCTCGTGATATCTGATGTTGATATCGGTAAATTTGAAGCAACGATTATTTGAAATACCGATGCAAATTGTCCAAAACATTTGCATCATTAAATCAACTTTAACTGTACACTGAAATTATTTGCTTTTTGATTCAAAATTTTTAGAATACTCTTTCGAAGATACTGTACTTAAAGTCAGCATGAGATTTCCAAGATTTATGCTCTATCAATTCGTTGTATTTTAACTTTCTCATAACATAAAACATTCAATTTCTTATGTCACGCTCTAATTCCTTTATAACTTCGACATATACGCTGGCCACAGCTTTTATTGAAAACAATTGATAAATCAATTTCTAACTATACCCAAAGGTTCTATGCCAATCGAATCAGCCTCGGTAACGGTCGACATCCCGAATCACTAAATCCCAATGTTTATAAGCCCGAAAGATCGAAATCAACATCCCGAATCAGAATGAACGACATCTCGAAAGATCAAAATCCCGATGAATGACATCCCGAAAGAACATGCATGAAATACTAAAATTATCACGGGCTGTCATTCATTCGAGATTTCGTACATTTGGGATGTCGTGCATTCGGGATGTTATTCATTCGGGATTTCGATCTTTCGGGCTAACGTTCGGGATTTCGACCGTTATCGATCCAATAGGTGGTGCGCAAATTTTATCAATGGCCAGTATGAATGCACAAAATTTTTGCTCGATCCGGAAAACAAATATATATACAACTCAAGGATGAGAAAGTGATATTACATGTACGAGAAAAGTTAGAATCTAAATTAGGAAATTTGGTACAGTAAACGATATTTTATATATGTGCATGTATTGCTTGGTCAATCTACATAACTAGCCTAATATATATATGCATTTTGAAATCTTTTTCCAATTTAAAATAATAAATAATTTCTTTTCTATAATTGACTTTTTGATAGGCCATTTGGCTGAGTTGTCTTTGAAGCCGGCTGAGAAAAGTAGATGAAAAACTATGTTTTGTGGTGATGTCAGAAAGAGCTTTGGAAGAAGAGGAATATTATTTTCCCTTTACAGTTATTATTAAAATTTTATTATGATAAATTAAGAAGAATTGCTTTACCTATAATAGCGCTCAACAAAAGTTGAAGATCCCATGTTGGAAACCGGAGTTGTCACCTGAACAGCATCATCAGAAAGAAAACTTTCCGGCTCCATAGAAAATGGGATCCCCACCAAATTATTTGGTGATCTATCAGTTGAGTGTAATTGATAACTGTCAGTGGAATACGGTTGATAGCTGACAATAGGGGTATGATATGATCGATAGCTGTTTTGATGTTTTTTTCTGTTGATCGCGAAATTAAATTAATTTTAATTAATAAGATAATCTGCATAATTTTACAAAATAAAGCAAATTTTAACTCACTTTTCCTCCGTTAAGTCTTTGAATAATTGTTTAAAATAATTAGAAAGTATATTTTTACAAAATTTGTCGTTATAAATATGTGAACTAAGTTGTGATATAAACCGCAGATGATCAGGAATGTTAAATAACGGACATGATTGTTCAGTACAATGCAAATCTTTTACAATGCTAACTGACAATAGAGTCCTAAATAATAAAAATTTATTGGGGACTTTTGTGTTAGGTTTTTTGAAAAATTTTTTTCTATATTCTTCATCAAAAGAATCTAAGAGAAATGTGTGGCGGCAATTAAATGAATATGTAATGGTTAACATCAAAAAACCATTATTATAGTCATTAAGAGTAATATTTTCCGGCTTCGCGAAACTTATTTTGTTAGAAGGCTCCATTTTATGAATATTTGACCCAGTTAAGAAAACTGGTCTTTAAAAAGTCAGAGAAAAGAAAGATTTTATAATAATTTTTATCTGCATTAATCTAAACTATACTCCGTGGAATTTTTGTGTGGGAACAAAGATTCTTTATGAAAATTTCCAGATTTAGAATTATACATGTACTGTACATGTATATACCGGACATCAATCTCCCAAATATTCCTTTTGTGTTAGTGATCGGTATATTTTTAAAAAACTCCTTAAAGCATCACATCGTTTAAATTTATTTTCATTTATGATCTTACTTGCAATCTGCCACGGATGATTTATAGATTGTTCCAAAACCAAGATATTTATTTAACATTGGTAAATTCTTATATTGAATTATCAATATTTTGCTTTTTCGCTAGAACGGTCAATAATTGAATGTAGAGAACGTTTTACTTGACAACGAGTGTACATGTATTTGTAGTTTTTCTTGTCATTCTTTTAATTTGCTTTGCATTACCAAAGAAAATTAGCAATGAATTACTTTATTTACTTTGGATATCTACATCATATTTGGAATTCATAATGCTCGAATCCTGTGCAAATAATGATATTTGATTTGCTTTTTACCTTTACGTTCATTAGAACATGTCATTTTTGCATCTAAACACAGTATTTAAAGCATTTTATGATCATGGTTAATACTCGTCTCGAAACAAAATTATTTGGTAAAATGAAATTCATTAACGTTAACTAATGAATTGATAGTTCTATTGAAACAAAACCAAGTATCACATCAAATTTAGTGTAACCTCATGTAGCTAACACGACTTATAATAAAAAACATTTGTTCAATAGTCGAAAAATTTAATTTCGCCAGAACCGGTCGTATAATAACAATCTCCACATGGTAACTGTCACAGGTAACGTGTATATGTGGGGATTTGAATTTAATTTGCTGGGATTGAATAATTCAGATTAATTATCTAATTCCTGTGCCAAAAAACAAATGAAGGATGGGGAGATTTCTTTGCGTAAATTAGCAACTATTATTGGTCTTGATGTTTCAACAACAATTAGTAATAAAACTTTATTAGCAGCTAAAAATCATTTATTTCGGAAGAAACGACTTATTTGAATGTTAAAAATGTTTAATATAATATGGTTCGACGAACCAAGTAGTGAACGTTATGTTTACGTTTGAGCGCCACTGTCATGTATTTTTGTGCTGTGATTCATCACATATCAAAAATCATGAGACTTGAGGTATTGTCATAAAGTTTACGTAGATTAAATTTTCATCGCAAAAAACACCCATAAAAAATTAACGGTTACTTATTTTGCCAACAAGAAGTTTTGTATCCGGAATCTTTAATCCGCTGTGTCCTTAGTTTTTGCAGGTATTAGTCAGTATTCTTGAGAGATTTCTCAATCGGCTTCAAAAAGGAAATAAAATAATGAATACAACGCATTGAGACAAAATTAAGTAGATCAGTTAGCTATCAAAGACCGAATTCGACATGAAATGATCTCCGAGCATCGAAGATGGACGTTGTTTAGTATTAATTAAGAAAGGTTATTTATAATTTGACATAAAACGATTTTGATTGGAGTCAAAATCAGCCCATATGCATAGAAAAATCCAGCTTAATTTAACGAAATTTAAAAAGCATACAATCTAATTTGGTTTCTCATATTGATATCATATCGATATCATAACGTTATAAATGAAATGAGGCATACGTATTAACGCCGATGTCATGCTGTGCCCATTAATCACATCTATGGACAAACCCAAGTTCAGATTTACAAAAAAAAAAAATAGTTAACTGTTAGGTAATTTCGAAAAACTGCGATATTTTTCGCTTTTTTCTACACTTTTTTGTTTGCTGCATGCAATAGAGTTTTTAGAAGTTTAAGATGAAAGCTAATTTGTACAAAGAAAAAAACAAATGAATTAGGAGATAATTTAAAACAAAACAATGAACGTTTTTAGTAATATGTATGTTATGTAACTTATTTGATAATTGGAAAAAGAATGCATGTTAGTGTATATTAGTTTTAGTATTATTTACTAGTATGACTTTAGTCATTCAACAACTTCCAGTAATTGACAAATGCAAATTTCTTATAAAAAGAAACAAGTATTTTTTGAGTTTCTTCAGAGTTTCACGGAATTACGGAACTCTATTTTATGACTTAGTTTTTCCCTTGTATAATGTCGGATAATATATTATTTGAGTACGAACGTTGCATTTCTGAATGCTCGTACATTAATGCGAGTGCGCAACTTAATTATAACAGCTCCGATGAGCCTATCAATTTTGAGCTTCAAGTGACTTGGTCCAAAATTTTAAGTCCATTTCACTATTCTGTTCCTTTACAATCAGTTGATGACTTTTTGCGTAGATATATGCGCAAACATGGGAAATTCCAAAACAAAAAACCAACAAACTACTACCTTCTTTTTAGGTTCTACTTATATGAAATTAAGAGAAACAATCATGCATTTAGCAATTTTCACCAAAATGAAATTTCAAAACTTTCGAAAATTATTTGGAGCAACTCAAAATTTAGACTTCAAAATTATTTTAAATCTTTTTGTGAAAAGCTCAAGCTCGCTATTTCGAATGCTAAAAGTGAACGCGAAAGTCTAAATGTCAACCTTGCACGCGAATGTAAGTCATTTTCATATTTATAATTGATATTTTTATCAAAATTGATAATATTAACTGATTAATATAACTTTTGTAGACATTCCTTTGCAAGACAATAATCTGAATCATGTTCTGACGCAAAACGCAGCTTTTTTTAACTGCCCATATCTTCGCTCTTATTATTATGATATTGATCAAAATTCAAATTCCTTATAAATTCATAACTCATCATCATCATTATTTACATGTATATAAGTATCACATCATAAAATAACCTATTTTATTATCATTTACCTAAGTTATCCTCATTGTATCTATTTAAACAATAAAGTCATTAATTAACATTTATATTACTGTATATTTCACTTACTTCTTACGTGTATGGGAGGACAGATTTACACTAACGCTAATACATTTTTCCGTGCCACTGATATGTATAACCATTTTTATCATCAAAAAACTCACAAAATTGAGCCTGAGGTATAATCTTGCTACAATTTCTTGAATAAATTATGCTCATATTCATTCTTATAAATAATATAATATATAATTTTACAAAGATACTCACTTTTTGTTTATCCAGATATAACCTTTTCATGAAATTCTTGTGGCGCAATATGTAATATGCCTTTTGCTATGATATTTAATGACGATTTGGACTTAAATTCTTCCAATAAATTAATAGGAAAGCTCGGAATATAATAGCTTGTTGTAATGAAGTTCTTCCATATTTGCACAGAAGACAAGACTTGAAGATAATCAAAGTGAAAAAATAATTTACAGGTAAAGGTGGAGTTACAAGGTTATTTTATTTGATTAGAGATGTCTATTGATAGTACTAAACCCTTCTTGTGTATTATACAAATTCATGGCTATTCTAATCAACATGAATTTTGTTAGACAGGTACTATGGTCGACATCAAGCTCGATGTTAAACAAACGCTAAATTATGCATAAGAAAGAATAAATGTTAATGATGCAAGATTAAAAATAAATTTTAAATTATGCGGGGGATAAAAATAAAAATTAAATTATTATTATTATGTGATGACTATCAAACAGGCTTTCCAATTTGTTAAATTAAAACGAATAACGATAACACAAATCTCACAGAAATTGCGGATTTACGGGTTTCGACGCAATAATGGTAGCACTAACTTCTTTTATTTTGAAGCATAACCATATTTTTTTGCTAAAATTCTTACAAAATTCGCATTTGTACTTTAGACTGCGAAATTTGTATTGAATTGTGGACTGTAATTTATATATATAAAGGATAGCTCTTGAAGTCTTGAGAGACAGGCAGTGTGTGGCTTGAAGTTAAACAAAATTATTTTTAACTCTTACCTAATAGCGCTACAGCTTTTATTTCTTTTGTGTCATAACAAAATTGATAGCTTTATTCTTAACAAAATCGAAGGCTTTGCCTCTATTACCACAAAAAGTTGATGCGTTTCGCTTGATTCTTTGATTTTGATTATTTTGTTGTGGCTTATATTGTTTTAGGATAAGCCTATTTTTAGTAAACCTCTACATTTATCTTTGTTATTCGAAATTAAGTTATATTTGATTAGTAATTAATTATTTTGTTAAATTCGAATCAAACTTTATTTTATAATTTATCTTTGCCCTTTAGTTTCTTTACTTTTAATTGCCTAATCTAAGATTGGCATATGAGACCTTTATAACCATAATGATACTTCACTTTTCGTAAATCATTCAGTTTAGCCTCCTGACTTTTGTTACATACTCGCTTCTTTAGCAAAGCTAACAATATATGCATTATCATTATATTTTAGATAATGTATTATAAAATTAACACGCATTCATTTGACCTTCTAGTTTATCACTTTAAATTAAAAGTAAAGCAACAATAACATCATGGTTAACGACATTATTTGATTGTTTCATATGATCGCCTTTTTTGGAATTTGACTTTTTTACAAGTCTCTAACCAGCTGGCGAATTCACATGACAAAAAAAAATAATATTACACGTCTAACCAATTGTGTCACTAGTGGACCAATTTTTTCTGCTTGACGAGTAAGCTCAGAGGATTCTAATTGCTGATGTATATATTTCACTCATGCCTTTAAGCAGCAAGCACGCAATTTACTTTTTAACTCAACAGACAAAGAACTATTATTGCCGTAGTAACTTTAAAATCTCAATTTTTATCATTACTATCTGAAAATCCAAAAAAAGGTGTCAAACTTGCAGGATACACATAAACTTTCGTACACAACAAATTTGATAATTAGAGAAACTAGGTGCATGGACCTAATACTTAACCCAATACATTTTGCGAATGACAAATTGTCAAAGTTCTGAATTTAATTATTGACCATTTACAAATAAAGATCCACACGGAAAATGATGGCGGATAAATTTTAACATATAATTGACTTCCTTTAAAAAGACTGGTGTGAAAAATACATGATATCTCTTTTTCGAAATGTATCTCCAGCCGACCTAGACAGAATTTTGATAATTATGATGGAGTCGATCATGAAAGGCAATTACGCAAAATTTTACTAAGTCAACGAGACAGCCCATTAATAAAAAATGTTCAACTTAAAAAATTGTACAGTCAACTCTCTAAATACACAACTACTATCTGGTCCATATTGATAAGTACATATTCATTATTCCGTAAGTGCACATCAGCTTGTCTATAAGACCCGTTTATATAATTTCTCTTCATCAGTGCACATCACATGAATATATCAATAAAATTTCGTGTCAACTCACCATATATCTAGTTCCTTAATTTTTACAACTAAAACTAATGGGTTGAAAAAACAATGTGATATCTTAATTTCTCATTATTACCATTCTTATAAAGCCGCGTGCAGCAATATTTTCTAAGTGCGCTCTCTCTCTAAATGCACATACGAAATTAGGCCTAACGGTGTGCATAAAATTTGTGAAAAAAACAGAGTTATTATTTTTTTAACCTGACAAATTACATCCATACTTGCAAGGAAAATGTGCCTTATTTAGGGTGTAGTTATCTTTAAAAATTACTTTCATATCTGAAGTTCAACATCCCGAAAACACAATCTCGACCATTCGTAAGCCTGAAAAACGAAATTCCGAATAAACGGTATCCAAAACACACGAAATTTGAATGAACGGCATACGAATAACAGCATCACGAATGAAGGCATCATGAATGTACGAAATCCTCATAACGTGATTTTGAGATGCTATAATTTCGGAATTTCGATCCTTCGGGATGTCGTTGATTCTGAATTTCGATCTTTCGTACCAGACCCATATAATAATATATGGGTTAGAATTTAACACAAATACCACAATTCGTGTTTTTTATATGACAGTGCTCGTTTTTATAAATGATTTTCATAATACATGTATAAAATCTCGTTCTCATCTTTCAATGCTTGCTAATAATTGTTCATGAAAATGGTGAATGCAGAACTTAAATGTATATCTTTAGAGTGAGTGATAAAGTCCTTTTTTGAAGATGATGATATTAGATTCACCTTGAGTAAGGTACAAATTGATCTATTGTTTTGTTTGATGTGCAAATTGAGTATAATTATTATCTCAGATTTCATATATCGATATTGGCATGGTTGGATAAAATCTCGTCGTTCTTCATCAAAATTAGACAATAGATTTTTGTAATATATACTGTATAGAATCTCTTTGTTATCTTCATATGCATTTAATTTTGGATTTCTTGATCCTATCAAAAATGAAATCGTACTGAACATTTTTCATTTAGAAATGAGAATAGCTTGAATCTCTTTCATTTAATCGGCTTTTTGTTTTGGAGTTCTTGAAGCATCAAGGATAAAAATGAGTTTCATTAAAGGTATTAAAAACCAAATCGCCAAAAAAATTCACAGTTTTCTGTCTAACCATTGAAAACATTATGTTGTAGTAAATATTTTTGTAATATCAAGTATCATAATTCTCAATACTCAGATATAGAATATTTAGCATTTTGAAGAGTTGGAAATATCACTCAATAAAATACATGCTTTATTTTCTGCCCATATTTTGAACATTACTTGATACGTGAGGAAGAACTAGTTCCAAATCTCTTGATTATCATTGTTTGAGATTTCTTTTGTTTGAAGTAAAATACAACACATCTGATATATTCGAAATCGATTTAGGAATTAACTGTTGAATCTTTTCATCAATCGTTTTTTTAAGTTTTTGTAAATATTCTTTTCGTGTGACAATTCAGGCTGACGTCCTGATATATTTTTTGAAATAGGCCCTTGGTCAACAATTTTCAATATTTTATTAACTAAAAGTTATGAACGAATTTTTGAGAACAATAAAATTTTATCATCTTATTGTATCACAAAATGCTTTCATACTTTTTTGTTTTATAAAAGTTTTTTAGTTCAGTAAATGATAAGTATTTCTATTTGCATTCTCTTTTCAGCCTCAAACGACCGAATACATTTATACCAGAAAGTAAAGTTCGAGCATTAGAAATTTTTTATCATTTAAAATTATACTGTATGTAATAATAAAAATTTATAAAATCAATACTCTAAGCTTACTTGCAAATAACATTTGCTGCTTTTGTTACTGGTTCTGTAGATTCAATATACTCTTTAAAATTTGTTTGAACAAAATTTTGAGGTGCTGACATTTATTATTGCAGGGAATGGATATTGATCTTAGGTGATACAAAATTAAGCATTTGATTGGTTAGAATATCGGGATAGGAGACTACATAAAGTTGATATCTATGAGGAAATTTTATAAAATCTGCTAAATGTGATTTCAATAAAGTTGTATTAACGAGGTCTGACTGTATATAGTTTGAGTTGATTCATCAACAAATGAATGTCATATAAATTTATACGTCTAATAAGAATCAAAAACAAAAGTTAACGTATATAATTTATTATTATCTAACTCAGAACCGGAAAAATTTAACAAATATGCAGGCCATCGTTGATCTAACACTATGTCTAAGAAAGCTCATCAAAGCATAGCAACAAGCAAATCTATTAGAACTATTATATAGTAGATAATAGTTTTGTTTTTTGGCTAAAAATATCGGAAAAATTTCATAAATGCCAAATAGCACTATTTTAAAGCTACGTACATGTTATAATTATCATATATAAATAAATATGTATATACTCTGAACAAAGTGATAAATTATGAGAGAACGTTATTGAAGAATTAATTGTATTGAAATAAATAACATTAAATGATAAATGATCAGTTAAATATATTATAATACCTTAGGCGTTGAATAAGGGTAATCTTATACAATATATTGGTTTAGAAAGAGGAATTTTTACAATATTTTGGGTAAATATTCTCATTATGGATAGTTTGGAAAATAATGGCGGATAAAGAAGTTTCTTCCCGGGGGAATCCATCGACGTAAATATTCTCATTATGGATGTTGGTTTCGAAAGAAACTGGATGTGTAACCGCTGAATTAAATATGAAATTTTGACGTGTTTGTTCTTGTTTGATTTGCTCATAAATACTTTTGAAAAAGTATTTGGTTTGATCTGAAGATTTCCAATAAATGGCGGCAATTTTAGACATATGTTTTCTCTCTAATTTAATTCCAGCTTCTTTGATGGCTTTCGAGAAGATAATTCGAAAAAGCAGAAAACAATTTGGGACTTTGTCTTCATGAAGATGTTCATGGATGAATTCGTTTATTGACAAAATTTTTGTGTTTATCATTTGCCCAAACAAAGTATCGAGTAGTTCTCACAGTTGATCACTACACTTTCTAATGGTTGTTGAATTTGCTCGTGTTTGAAATTTTTCATTTTCTCTGATGATAATTAGATAGATGAATTTGGTTCGCTTTTAAGTAAAGGAGTTTTTTGTTAATGGTTTAGAAATGTTAACGAATGATAATCCTTTATTTATATGTATTATCGTTTTATGTAGTGCACAAAGCACGAACTGATGCTAAATGAAAAACCAATAAGAATAGTACTGACATAAAAAAGTACAACGTTACCAGAGTTTTTGTGTGTTATACAAAAATTTTCTATGTAAATCCTAAATGACCAAGCAAAAAAAATGGTTAACTCGTAATGAATCATAGAATGAAATTTTATAGTTCGAAATACGTATTTTAATACTTCAGCAAAATTCTATTCAATAATTTCTATGCAATAAAGGCATGTACATGTATATGTATTGCAATGCATAAGAAATGCATGAACATTTATTAAACTGAATGAATTTTATTTTGATCATTATGTTGATATTATTCAGCATTTGAACAAAGACAAATGTCTAAATATTCTTCTACTACATATTTGTTTTAATCGAATGATAATTTATTTACTGCAAGCTTTTCTTTCACTCAAAGACCATCATAGAAAAATCTTTGAATGAATGTGATCCGAATCTGTTTCAAAAAAACTCCGATTTTTCTTATTTTGATTTTGTTCCAAGACGTGATCATTTTCGGAATAATCCTATCCGAAATTACTTAGATTATATTCGATAAATTTTACTAATAGAAATGAAATTATCATTACTTTTCGAATATTATCCGAAAATTCTCCAATTAGATTCAGTAGATTCTATTACTATTTTATAAATAAAAACGATTATTATCAGGTACTTTTCAGTTATATTTGTAAAATTTAAACAATAAATATTCAAATTAAATTCTATTAATTGATCAATATTTTATCAATATAAATGAAATATCATAAGATACTTGTTATTTTATATTCAGAGAATATTATCTGAAGTTCTGTGTAAGATATTTAGATTAAATTCAGAATTATTATGGTTTATAAATAAATAATACCTATTTTTTTATCTTTTTTCAATTAATAATTGTACTATTAATTTTTTATTATATATATATTATTAAAATATAAAATGTTATAAATATTATAAAATTGTTTTAAATACCTAAATTTTTATAATTTTTGTATTTATAATGCAAATAGATTGATTAAATTAGAAAAAGATAATTAAATATTATAATTATATTATTAATAATTTTGATTTTATTTAATTAGAAATATTTATACATAAAATTGATATTATCCTTTTGTAATTTGAATTAAATAATATAATATTCTTATATTAAGTATATAACATTCTAAGTAAACAGAATAATATTTAGTATATTATTAATATTTAATTTAAAAAGCATTATATTTGTTAATAAATCAGATTATTTTATATTTAAAATTAATAATATAATATTTTATATTAAAAGAAAATAATTATTAATATTTGAATTTTTCTGATATTTATTCTAATATATATTATATAAATTAATAATTTTTAAAAATAATAATATATTATATTACAAGAAAAATTATATATGATTAAGTCAATTTATTATATAACCTTCTAAAATTCAAATTTTTCTCTATATATAAAAGTTTTTAATTTTTTTCTTCTTTATATATAAAAGTTTTTTAATTTTATTAATAATTATTTTTTATTTTTATATTAAAATAAAGATAAGAATTTATAGTTAAATATATTAAGAATATCTCTATTCTAAATATTTTATTAATTAAAATATAAATTTAATTAGGAAAAAATTTCATAATTAGAAAAACTTTCAAATAAAATCTGAAAAATCTAAAAAACATATATTAAACTATAAGTTCTTATTTTTCAATATAAAAATAAAATTATTAATAAAATTAAAAACTTTTAATATAAAAAAATTAAAAACTTTATATATAAAGAAAATTTAAATTTTACTATATTTTATTATATTTTCTTGTAATTTCAATAAAAATTATAAATTAATAGACTTTTTTTAAAAAATTACTATTATCAGACTTAAAATAATTTTAAAATATTTTTTTATTAATTAAATAAAATATAATATGACTTGTAATTAATTAATTAAATTAGATCAAGTTCTAATTAATTAATTATAAATTATATAATTAATTTATTTATTAATTTTATATAACTTAATATAAAAAAAATATTATACTTTTAATTAGTTATATTATTATTAAATAATATAGATTGAAATTAATAATATATTTGTATTTATAAATATATATAAATTAACTTAATAATTAATTATAATTATTTTAATTTTTAGAATTAAAAATAAATAAATTATTTTAATATTTAAGTTTTAATATTAATTTTTTTAATTGCTATATTATTAATTAAAAATTTCTCAAGAAAATGCAAAATAAATTAAATTAATTGAAACCTTAATTTATAAAATATTTATTTTTTAATATATTCAATATATAATATAAAATAAATTTGATTATATCGATATTTCATTCTTTTTAATAATAAAATTTATATTAATTCTATAAATATTAAATATTATTAATAATATTAAATAATATTAATATTATTATATTTATATAATAATAATATTTATAAAAATATTTATATATAAAACAAAATAAGAGAAATTAATAATAAATAGTAAATAAGATAAAAAGCTAATATAGAAGTTAATAAAAAGATATGTGATTTTTATTTATAAATAATATTATTAACTAAAAAAATATATAATTTGTTATACTATTTATATTATTGTTATGATTAATAATAATTATAATTTATAAATAAATAAAAAAATTAATTATTAAAATAATAATTATAATTAATATTATACAAGAATTTTTTACTATTATAATTAATAAAAATCTCAAATATTGCATTAATTATAATTGTCATTAAAATTAACATTTTATTTTTTGTAATATAATAATTTAATATTTATATTATAACTATTTTATTTGAATAAGTTTATTAAACTATTACTAGATTTATTTTTAAAAAAAATAAATCAAAAATAGTAGAAAAAATATTAATAAAATAAAAATATTGTTCCAATCTAATTATCAGTTTTAAAAATAAACAAAAATATGTTTTAATTTAACTATCTATTTTGTATTATAAATTAATATTATAAATTAATATATTGTTGCTTCTTACTGAACTTGATAAGTATTATAATTGATAGAGATAATCGCATTGCATTAAATAAGACTTGGATCCTTGTCTAGTTCTTATTAGTAAGCAAATCGGAGTTTTTTCGGATAAAAATTTCAAACTATTTATTTTCAGAATATAATCAGATTATTTTCAAATTCATTTAAAATATGTCTAGATAATTTAAAAATTTTATAGCTTACTAATTAGCATTTTGAATATTTTCAATCCAATCGGAATATATTCAATGAAAGTTGTTTATAAATTCAAAGTGATTCATTTATTGAAAGAATGTATATTAAAGCTGCAGGACCTTTAACTTGTACGAAACTTGACATTGATAATAAAACTCTTTGCACCCGAGGAAAATACTTACGACTACGACAATTATCACAATTGAAAGTCGAGGTGTTTGCGAAGCAACATTATTAATATGACTTATGTCGCGTACTTTTTCTAATTACATCTTGTTGTACTACTTTTTTGTAAATATAAATTTATTATTTATTTATAGTTTTTATGATTATACTTTTTAAAAATTTAAGTTCTATATAAATAAGACTCAAATATATGAAAAGATTACAGATTGATGAATTTTTAGAAAAACTGAAAATCGTAAGACCGTGGCAGATTTTTATTTTCTGTTTTGATGTTATAAAAATTCGAACTTTTATAAATGGCATTTAAAATTTATCAAAATTGATGAATTATACAGCTTAAAATTTGACTTGAAGTAACCTTACAAGACATATACAAAAAATGGTAAAATTCCTTATGAAAACTTCTGTTCCTTTTAACATTTTTAAATTTTTTCAATAACCAAAAATCTCTTTGACCTGAAAATTGAAAATTAGCATTGGAAAATAAACACATTTTTGAAGTATGTAAGAGTCTGTAGCCATCTGTAATCTGTAACAGATTATGGTGTTTACAAGAAAAACCACCTGTAAAATTTACAAATGTATTTTTTTGTAGCGATTAATAAATCGGGTTTTATTTATTATGACGCGACTTAAAGCATAAAAAACTAAGGACAGAGAAAAATACCTTAAATCTAAAATGAAATCAATAATCTAATTGGTTGAATAAAAATCAAATGATTAAAAAGAATGATACAATAGATTAACTATACATGTTAAGTTTAGACAATTAAAAATTACAAGAATAGAAAAACCTGAAGTTAATACAAATTACAGTAATGAACCCCTTTTTTTTTGTTTTTTTTTGAAATTATAAAAGTTGATAATAAAAAGTAAAAAATAAAATATTTACAATGATAAATTACAGGTTAGAGGAATTGAAAAAACGCAGAAAAATCTGGCAAGAGATTCATATCCAAAAATGCAAACATGGGGAATGAATTGGACTGAGAGATGTTATAATTTCCTGAAAATATAAAGGATGGATCTGTGGGCAAGCTTAAGTTATTACACGATGTCTCTTGGAGCAATGCTGAATTATTTAGTATAGCAATGTCTGGCTTCTGTGTATCATTTGTGTTTCTTTGAGGGCAAAAATTGTGATGCTCTTCCCTGATACATAATGTCTCTTGGAGCAATGCCGAATTATTTTGTGCGCCAATGCCTGGCTTTTGTATATTCTTGGTGACTCTTTGAGAGCAAAAATTGTGATTTGTTTTCTTGTTTTGTCTTCTACGTTTAACTCTATTTGTGATGTTATGAGGAGTATATTGAATGAATGGTATGTGTTTCTTCTGGAATTTTTCTTTCAGTTTCTTTTCCAATTTTAAAAAAGAATCCCTTAGATTCTTATCTGAGTTCTGCCATGCATTTCCGGCGAATGATGATATATCATTATTCAGCAACCATGGAACATTTCTTTGAATCTCGCTTCTGAACAAAAGAAAAGCATTACCCGTTCGTGTTTGATTCTCACTGCATCTAGCAACTAGATCGTTAACTTTTGGAAGAGGAAATTCAATAGTAATCTCAGACTGATTATCTATTATTACAACAATAAAACTGCCATTATCACGTTTTATAAGCGAAGCTCTTACTTTAGGAAGCGAATTAAATGAAAATTTAGGAGAATATTCAATGTTGGAAGGGATAGAAGTAACGGTATTTTGTTGAAGTTGTTCGAGTACTTCAGCAGTGTAAGGGTTGTGATTTCTAATCATATTATTACAAAGTCAATCTATTAAAAAAATATCTTTAAAAGAAAGTTTTCTATATTCGTAGTTTTGTTTGATAATTAACAGAGCGCTTGTTTATATAATGCTTTTTTTAGATCAGCAGACACATTCGGAGAATAAATTCCCGTGTATGTTGATCTGATGTACTCATGTGCATGTATATGTTTTCCTTAATTAAGAAGTACGTATAAAAAGGTGAGGCTTTTAAATAACTTTCTTTCACCATATTATATACTATTTTTGGGAATTGATAAGTCAACAACCCTTTACATTCGAAATCCCTATTTTGATAGGCTGCGGAGCTGCATAGTCAGTGAGAAATAAATTTGTTGGTTTAAGCACTTAAAGATTCTGCTGCAGCAACTTCGGAATAAACCAGACTTTTCGAGTCCAATTCATTTCAAATATCTAGGAAAAAGATAAGTTTAACATGTTAGTTATCTTATATTTCTAAATATAATATATCTATCTAGCTTTTATGTTCATATCTTTGCAAAAAAAATAAAATACAATCTGGTCCAGTTTAAACTTAATTATTAAATGCAAGAAAATTCGATAAATATAATAAAATTGACGAATTTTATCGTTTCTGAAAATAAATTTTACTGAGCTATCAGAATTTATTATTATTAGCTAATTATTTAATATCTTGACTAATAAATAAATTATCTTCTAAGAATATATATCAATAAATATTTGAAATATCTCTATTCAGTTATAGATCTGTTGAAAATGATTAATAATACTAATTCATATAAAAATCAAGCTTATTGACTCAGAAGATTAGCAAAATAATTGCAAAAATTGTTAATTTTATTTTTTAAAATTTAAATAGATTAATTATTACTTTATGACAAAATAGTTCAGAATTGAATTAATTCAACTTCAAAATAAAAAAATCCTGAATAATTCTTATTAATATATATGGGTTGGTGCAAAAAGATTTGTACCTCAGATAAATATTAATAAATTATTTTTTCAAAATAAAATTTTAATTCTGTCTTATTTAATTAAGTTATTAGATATT